CATTTCAGTCCCTTCCCGACCCTGGGAGTTGCCCTTTTGGTTCAAGCTTGTTGCCTTGTAGATGGAAAGCCAGGTGAGAAGATGATGTCTGTCAGCATCACCTGTGAAGAGGTGCGCTGCTGGTGCTGAGCTCTGCAGAGATGCAGTGCATGCAGCAGGCACTTCCCACTGCTGAGGCCCTGGCTGGCTCTTGGCTCATCTCTGGCATTGGGTCCAGGTGGCCACGACTGCAGGTCTCCTATGTGTGAGGTGTGGAGCTGGGGCGTTTCGTCCTTCTGGCCACCCTATGAGTGCATGGGGATAGACACCCTCATTTCATGACTGACGAAACTGGCCTTATCTGGCAGCCCTTTGGTGAGGTAAATCTGGGAGACAGGAAGTTTGAATGAGGACCTTGGCAGTGTCAGTGGCAAGAGGCTGTAGTTTTAGATCGCATTTACCTTGAAACATATCTTGTTTGTGAATCTTGAGGTGGGTTGAAGGCTGAGCTTTTCTCCTTGGCCAAACTGCTGCTTTGTAGGAAGGTTCTGCCCAGTGTGCCTCCAGCCCTCCTTAAATTTCTGTAGAACTCCATCACTTACCCCCTGCCTGATAATACTGTTTGATGCCATCTGGCAGGTGATGAGGCCCAGGGAAGGCAGAAGGTGGGGCAGTCCTAAATGTGAGTGCACCGGCAGCTCGGGCCAGGCTCCTTCTCTCATTCTGAGAGTTACTCAGGGGCTCTGCTTTAAACCTTGAGCTTGTCTCCCAGACACCATGGGCTGAGCCCATTACCATTGCTGCTGCCGTCAATCCGAGGCCCTGTGTTTTAATTTGCAGAAGCCAGAGGCACGGAGAGGAATTGCTTTGTGACTCATAAAGTCGCATAGGCAGAACCACAAATAAGGGACTCTAGTTGGCAAAAACCAAATTGCTTCAAGGCTATTCTTGGAAACTAAAGCATGACGTCTTGTTTCTTCCCAGAAATGCAGAAACCTTTCATATTTCTGGGTAGTTGGTTTATTTATATTTCATATCAAACTCCAAAAAAGCAATAGCTGGGAGGCAGCTGACAAGGAAGACTTAAACAAGAGTCATTACCTGGGATCCTCTGATTTAACTAATCTTTAACCTTCTTTTTTTGGGGAAGGAGAATGGAGTCCCCCAAAAGTATCACATTCCAGGTTCTGCAAGAAAAGGCTTGAAGCTGGGACTCAGACTCACAGAGTTCTTCTGAGTTAGCCTTTCTCATTCATTAGTGAAACTACCTTCCTCCATGTATGTTCTCAGCTCATTAGCTAAGCTTCCTTATATGAGGTTTCCCACTTCCTATAAGAAGAACTTAAAATTCAGAAGTTGAGTTGTCCAAGGCTGCACAGCTAGGAAGTGGATTTGAACCCAGATCTTCTAAATTGAAAGCTCATGGCCTCTAGTTTCAAGTGTATATAATGCCATGACCTGGGAAGCTAGTCCCAGTGGTCTTCAGTAATGTACCTTTTTCTCTTCCCTTTGTTTTCATGACATTTGGGCTATTTGAAGAAGAATGATGAGTGCTGACTGTCATGTGGCTGCCAGGTGCTGAATATGTCACATACACAATCAGATTGATTCCTTACAACCCTAGGACATGAGTGGTGCTATTCCCATGTTACAGGTTGAGGGAGAGAACATGCCTAGGATCGTACAACTAGCAAGTGTGTGAGACCAGATTCACATCCAGTTTTGCCAGACTAAATATTCTGATGTTCTTCTGTGATGAGACCTATCCTGCAAGGGTGTTAGTCATTTTTAAAGTCTTTGACTTCAATTGGAAAGTTGATTTTAAAGGTCGAGACTACACACTTTAGATCCAGGGAGGCAAGTCTGAGCCTGGTACAGGCTGCTGGGGTCTGGCCCAGAGCTGGCAGTGCTTATCTCCTCCTGTCTAGCCATCTCCCTCCACCTCCCTTATCTCACCCCCGATAAGAGCTAGTTCCTGGAGCTCCCACACCCACCCAGTGCCCTCAGCACCGCTTTTGGCTCTTTCCACTGGAACTCTAAGATTAAGTTCATTTTTCTTTTTGGGGAGGAGGAGAGGCAGCTGGGTTTGGGAGGAGACCGGTTCATCCAGTTTGTAAATTATTCCTGGGAGTCAGGTCTGGCCTGATAGCTCAACTCACCATTTAGAGTTGGCAACTTGGAGAACTAATTTACCAAACTGTTTTCCAAACTGGTGCATTACCCAGATACAGATCTGCCCTATGTGACAGATGCAGCAGCACATGTTTCCCTATCTACCAAGTGCCTCCCAGGGCCAGACTTGGCCACTCTCCCACGCATGTATCTTGCCCTTCACTGCAACCCTGCAAGGTACAGGTTATCATCTGTCTCTTACAAAAGAAGACACTGAGGCTCAGAGCTTATGTGGCTTATGTGAAGCATGTGGGCAACCAGGGGCCGAGCTGAGCTTTGGACTCAGGCTCTAATAGCCCCACAGCCTGTGGTTTTTCTCTGCATCACCAGCCCATCCTCAGAAAGGACTGCAGGATACCAGTCAGTTTAAGTAAGTGTCAGTCAGCTACTGCATCCTTTGTTCGATGCAGGGCACAGAAGTGGTTCCAAGATAGGGAAAGACTGAGGATATTAATATACTCTGAACAGCAAATGAGCCTTGCTCTCTGTTTATGCTTTCCGGGTGGCAAGTCTTGCCCATGGGAGAAGGTTGAAGCACAGCGGGAGGCAGTGTTTATTTGAGTGATGCCAAAGGGAACACTGTGGGCATTAAAGGAGCCGAGAGAGCATCTGTGAGGGAATGTATCTCTTATTAGCACCAGACAAAGCACAGAGCCAGCTTTCCAGGTTTGTTGAATTTGTTGAGTTGCAGGGACCAGAGCAGCCAGGTAAGTGCTTATGGAGGACAGAGGCCTACTGAAGAGTGGAACTTTGCTGGGCCTGGAACAGGGAATGTGCTAGTCTCTCTTCAACTAAGGTAAGTGCTTATGGAGGACAGAGGCCTACTGAAGAGTGGAACTTTGCTGGGCCTGGAACAGGGAATGTGCTAGTCTCTCTTCAACTAAGCATGCTGCCAGGCATATTGGAAGCTCTCCCGGAAGGGAGAGGAAAGGGTCCTGTACTGTTGCCAGTGTACCCTTGCCCATCAGTATCTGGGTGTCTGGTGTGTGGAGAGTGTGTCTGCCTCTTACAGTGGGTGCCCAGCCAGGCTGCCATGTGGCATTTATATGTGCTTTTCTTCTTCCCTTGCTCTCCTAGCTGCTTTCCTCTTTGTCACCTGGGCAGCCCCTTAGCTGCCTCTTTCTCCAGTTTACTCCTGCCATTTTCCCAAAGAACTGCTGCTCTGTCTCCTGTATACCCCATGGCTTACTGGAGAAGCCAGATGCCCTCCACTATCTGCCCTGGATGCCTCCACCACACCTTGTCATGAGTCCTGAATTCCCAACCTTGAACTTGCTGACATTCTGCAGCTGTATTGGCTCTTTCCAGACTCATGCCTTTGTACAGGGGTTTCCTTTGCCTGGAAGGTTCACTCCCCAGTCTTCTAATGAAATCCACTTTGTCCCTGAAATTGCAGCATTTTGGCATTTCTCTCTCCTGGTTCCTCAGGACTCTTCTAGGCTCTATTGGATACCCCCTGCACTGGGCTTCCAGGCACTGTGTTCATATTCTATAAGAGCTTGCCTGCTGTCTTCCAATCGACTCCTTATGGACCCATCTTCCTTATAAGGCCCTATCTCTGTATCTCCAGCACTTAAGGTCATGTATCACTTTGTTAAGGCAGCAATAATTGTTGCTAAATGAATGAGTAAAGGATTAAGGAAGAAGATAAACACCATTCTCTGCTTTTATTATTATAAGGCCAGCCTGCAGTTCAAGTGCACCCACAATAGCATTTCCATCTGCAGAGTGGGAAGCCTCCCAGCCTGAGGGCTTTATCTCTGTGTTTGCTGACCTTGCCAGGCCTGTCTCAGGGAGCTTGGTATGCTATATCCTCTTGTTTAGAGACCCTGTCAAGCCCCCCTGATGGCTGAGCTTGCCCCAGCTCTTCCATGCTTGTCTTCTTGCACAAGAGGTGTATTCTGGAAAAAATAGTGAGTGCTTTGGAAAATGAGCTCTCATTTATTTTTGTTCCTATGAAACTGAAATGACTCTTATAAGAAATGCCTGAGGTTAGAGTGGTACAGAGAGAAAGGATGATGGCCAAAACCCAAGCAAGCTTTTTATGATGTAAATGAACACCCATCACATTTTTCATTCCATCAACTTGAGCACTTGTTCCAAAGAGCGCTCAGCTTGGGCTTACAAAGCTCAGACTCCTTTCGCACATCAGGAGGAGAGCCATGTGTCTCTCTGCTGTGCTGTATGTCTGACTCAGGTCGATGTTGTGCTTCTAGCAAACACTGGGGATAGAGAGCAGTCTGGAGAAGTTGCTGTTTGTCATCTCTGCAGGGGAAAGATCTGCCCTCTGGGACCAAGGAAGGGAGACTAAAGCTTGATGTCTAAGGGTAGATGGGATAGTCATGAAGTCGAGTGTGGTATGCACTTTGAAATTTCACCTGTGCATGATGTCAGGTGGCTAGGTTACATTAATATTAGTCAACCAACTTGCAGCACCAAGAATTATAGCTTTTCAATGGTGCTAAATCTAGTGTGCTTTTCTGATTTTCTTTTTTCTCATTTTACTATTATTTCCAGAACTGTCTGGTTCATAGCAAAATTGACTAGGTAATGTTCATAGCAAAATTGACCAGGTAATGTTGACATCAGCCAGGGTATATCTGGGGCAATCTGTAGTGCTTTTCAGCTAGCAAGAGGAGTGGGGTATTGAGAAGAGAAGGAGGCTGCCAGCAGGCAGCATTGCCAGATTAGAAGGTATGGTTGTACATTTTCTATACTTTATTTATATTCAGTATTAAGAATTGTGTTTAGTATCTTAAAGGAATTTTATTTTTACCTCTCAGCGCCCCCCCCCCCCACCTTGCCCTCATTGCCACAGAGCTGACCTCTGCCTCTATCTCCCTTTGCAGGTGTGACATTTCTTGGAGTACTTCATGGTGGTCTTCTCCATCCCTTCCACACCACTGCTTCACACAGCTCCTAAAACATGGGAGAAAATGAGGATGAAAAGCAGACCCAGGCCGGGCAGGTTTTTGAGAATTTTGTCCAGGCTTCCACGTGCAAAGGTACCCTCCAGGCCTTCAGCATCCTCACGCGACACCTGGGCCTCGACCCTTTGGACCACAGAAACTTTTATTCCAAGCTCAAGTCCAAGGTGACCACCTGGAAGGCCAAAGCCCTGTGGTACAAACTGGACAAGCGTGGGTCCCACAAGGAGTACAAACGAGGGAAGTCTTGTGTGAACACCAAGGTAAGGGGAGCCCTGTATAGGTGTCTCTTACCCTGAGGTGTGTGCGTGAACCTGTTGGGAGATTAGAACGCTGTTGCCATTATGTCTAAGGCTCTTAATAGGCATGAGTATGTTTTACTGTTTTGCTCAGCTGAAGGTTTCCTTTGTCTAAATGTGCACAGCTTATCGGGATTGGGAGTTTCCATCTTATCAAGGCCTCAGCTACTCTTCTGGTGCCTCTCCAAGGAAGAGAAAATAAAGGCACACATGACATTATCCTACTTCTACTACTAGTACCACTGCCACTACTACTTCCAGTAGCTGCTATTTTGGGGGCAGCTTCTGGAAGCTGGGCATTTCATGTACGTTCTCATACCCACAGTAGGCCTTTGGGTCATGTAAGAGGTATGGAAGCTGAGAAGCCAATTATCTTGCCCAAGGTCATACAACAAGAAGGCAGCATTGGTCGGTGTGATTCTAGGATTGCAACCCTAATTCTGTGGAGAGGCAGAATTAGAGAGCTGTGTTCCCCTGGGAGCAAACATTTTATAATGATCCTTTGGTCTTAATTGGCTAAGAGGTAAGTCCTTGGTCCTTACTGCCTTTTCCTCCCTCTCTCTGTCTCTTCTTTCTCACACCTCCTCATTCTCCACCTCACCACTCTCTTATAGGACTCATTTCTCTGCTCAGGATCACATTTGTAGTTAACCCCCCACAATTCCCCTTTGGCCATCGGCACTATTGGTGAACATGGGGCTGACCGGTGCATCACATCTCTGATATCTCTGCAATGCCCATCACCAGATGGGCAGCCAGAAGTCAAAACTTCAAGGCTGGCCTATGGGAGCTCTCAGCCCTGGGCACTTGTCCAAGCTGTTTTGTTTAGGTTAAAATTGAACATACTGTATTTAGACCTCATAGGAGGTAGCTCAGCCAGAGCCCCTGGAATTCCAGTCGGTGCCAATACCAGACAAGAGGATTGAACTCTCCATGGCAATCAGAACTGTTGTGTTTTTGTTTTGGTGATGAGAAGCTGTTGAATCCACCATGGGGTGCAGCTGCCTTCCCTTGCCCCAGGGGACACAGCTGCCAAGCACAGTACTGGTGTAGGCAGAAGTTTCCATCAGGCAAAAACAGACAACTTTAACCCAGGGCAGACCAGCCATCCAGGTAGTGCCTTCCCAGAACCTGCCAAGCTTCAGCCTTAGGCAGAGGAGATGGAAGTAGGAAAGAGGGAGGGAATGGGATGAGGGCAGTATGTGAGGTGCCACCCCCTCTGAGTACCTCCCTTCCAGTCGTAACTTCGTGATTCATAGTTCACTGGGCAGCTTTTCAGATGCAGAGGAGAGGGAAGCTTTCAGCTTCCAAAGCACCACCCTTTTTGGTGATCACATATGGTGGCTTTCTTTTAAAAAGGTCGCATAGAAGTTGGGTGGTGGGGTGGCAGTAAGTTTTTCTCAGGAAAGGTTTTCAGAGGCCTTATTTTATTAGGAAATGCAATTGCCCCAGACACCCAACAGTTCCTAGCTATTTAGGGGAACCTCTTGGTGATCTAAGACAGACCTTCAGAGAGAGTGAATCAGCAGGGGCACAGAATGGAGGGCTGACTACCGTGAAAATGCTCTTTTAAAAATCACTCACCATCTGGCTAGCCCCTATTTTGTAAGTGTTGGTGGCTTGAAATAGAAGAGTCCCTATGGTGGACAGACCATCACTGGTGCCTGAGATACAGAGGGGAAGAACTAACGACTTAGTGATGCTCGTGGAGAGTGCCTCTTGCCCATGAACTTTATACCTTTCTTAGAAGGAGGAACAAAGACATTTCAAATGTGTGGTAGCCTGTCTCATAAAAACTACTTAGATCCAGAACAGTAAAAGATAGTTTTGAAAGTATACTTTTAAGTACAGTGTGACTGTGTTAGGCCACTTTTGCTCCACATTTCAGAAACCCAACTCAAACTAACCTAAACACAACAGAGAAATCATTAACTTGTATAAACAAGAAGGTCCACTTGAAGCCTTTTCCATCCTCCTTCCATCTGTCTCGGAGATGTTTTGCTCTCTGTTAGCTCATTCTTTCCTCCTGCAGACAAATTTTTTCTATGTTGGTAGCCTCTAGTTCATATCTTTATATTTCCATTACCCAAAAGGCTAGAATCTTTCTCTTCCTGATCAATATTGGAAAAAAAATCTCAGGGAGTGATTCTGATTGGCGTTCCCTGGGCCAGTGATTGCCGCCAAAGCAAGGGGACTGTCTGCTGTCATTGGCAGCACTTCCAAGTGGCACATGATTGATATAAGGGAGGAGCAGGTCCCCAAGGCTATGGATGTGCAAGACAGATAAAAAGCAGGTGTGCTCTCCAGTGACTTCAGTCGCATTCTGGTCATGGTACAGGCCCTCCGCATATTGGATTTATGTGGGTGGTTGATACCCAGCTCTGAGAGCCTAGGGCTTGTACTCCTGTTGTGATCAAGCAAAGCACAGAACATGGGTCCATCCACTCTCCCGACATGAGCAGATGCTGTCTTGCTTACCTACCTTGATTAGCTCTCCTTCAGTGTAGTAGTTTTCGCTGAGCATTAGCCAAATAAGAAATGCTGAGCATTTGCGTGCATGTGGCTGATCATTAATGCTCAGTCACATAACACAGGTGTTCCAGGTTCCAGGCATATAGCCAAGCTCCTGGTTAGCCACAGGTAGAGTGGGAATAAGTGAAAATTCAGCCGGACTCCCACCTTTGCTTTGACGTGGATACATCTCAGCACCACTTGGAGTAGATCTGGGTTTTTGCATTTCATGAGCATTTCCCAGGCCCTCCCTGAGGCACCGTGCTGAGCTGCTCTATTCCTGCTGACAGTGAGTGTGTGTGCTGTTGGTCATGGTTGGGGGAGATTGGATCTGTTCGGAGAAGAAAGGCCTCTGGCGGAGGTGTCAGAGGATAGGGAGACGGACCCGCAAGGTCACTAGGGTAGTGGCTTAGGTGTTAGTTATGTAATCTAACTTGGGATCATGGTTTATTATTGATTGTTATTTATGAGGGGTTTGTCAGGCACCTAGTAATTCTTTCCCTGGGTGTGTTCTGTTTGGGTAAAGATTGAACCAACAATCAAGCCAATTAACTCTTTCAGGATCAGTATTGGCTCTACATTAGGATAGTGCCTGGATCAGATGTCACATCCAGCTATATAATGTTCCTGAGGAAAACAGCCCAGAAGAAAATGCACTACATAGTTTGGCTTGGGAACTGCCATTGTCATAAAATCATGGCGTCTGGTCTTTATTTTGTATGTACTGAATGGTAGAAGGAACTTGAGAGAATGTTGTGTACAATCTCTGCGTTTCACAGGTGGTGTATGGGGGCCCAAGAAGCTGAAGCTACTTATCTGAAGATAGTGGGTAGCATTGCCAGGATTTCGACTTTATTGATTTGTCTGTGCAAATATTTTTTTGCTCATTCGGCAGGTGTTTCCATAACCCTACACCTTATTTGACAGGGCAGATGCTTTGAAAGATGAATAAGTGGTTCTCTCTTGAGCTTTCTGTAGAGGAGAAATGTAATTATTTCTGTATTTATTAGCTCATTTAATCATTCATGAAGTAAATAATTATTGAACAGGTACTGTGTGCCAGACACTTGTCTATGTACCTAATCAGCCCCTTAACAGTTCTGTGATTTGGGGCAAGTTACTTAAATCTCTGATCCTCAGTAGTGTTCTCTATAAAGTAAGGATAATAATGTACCTCCTTCACGGAGTTACGATAAGGATTAAATAAGGTAATCTTTCTAAAGTGTTTAGAATGCCTAGTACATAGTAAGTGATCAGCAAATGTTTAGCCATTATTATCATTAATATCCTAAGTGCTATGAGAGAGGTATGTACACTGTTCGGCAGGGATATAGAAAGGCAGGCAACTAAGCATGACTGCAGTAGTCTGGGAATGTTTCCTGGAAGAGGGGTATGATTTGGGGCTTCACAGATGCATGGACATTTACCTTGCCAAACCAAGGGAACATAAGGCAAAGAGATATATTCCAGGAAGAGTTATGCTGTTTATGTGGTGGGAAAGAACATGTGTGTGAGGAGTGGAAAGAGGGGAGCAGGTGAGAGTCAGAGAGCAGAATGGATGGGTACAGGAGAGACCAGAGAGAAAGGCTTTCTGGGGCCAGGCTGTGAATAGAGGATCCCATAGTCAAACAGAGGCAGAGGCCCTGGAGGACCATTGAGGATGCACCCCCGATTCCCAGTTCAGGGTCCTTACTACCGCCCTCCGTGGGGTTGCTCAGTAAATACAGATAACCAATGCAGACCAGAAGACCATTTGTACATCATTAACATACAACAGGCTGCAGGAAATGACTCCAGACTCTTTTGTCACCAGCAGAAATGGGGCCAGCCTATGTAATGAAAACTCTTGGATTATTCTGTGAGAAGGAAATGTTTGTATGATCATTGCATCAAGTCAGGTCACCCCATACCTTTTGCTTCTGAATGTGACCCTTGCCCATCTTTGCCTCTGCAGTGGCTGCCCAGTGGTGGGTAGGCCAGGCTTGAGTAATATCTGTGACTCAACTCACCAAGGGGTTCCCAAGCTCATAAGCAGAGCACAGTATAAGGCTGGAGGCAGGGAGGCAGGGTGGGAGAGGTGAAGCTGGGAGCAGAAGGCTGCTATCTTCTAGTCTAGATAAGACTATCTGGAATTCCAGACCTCTGAAATCACCTGCCAGGGCCATGGGAGCCAGGCTATGCTGAGCAAGCTGAGGCATGTCAAGTACCACTTTGCTTAAGACAGTTGAAGGCATGACCACAGAACACAGGAGGATCTCTGGGATGTGAGATAATATGCTCGTGAAACAGGAGCTTAGATGATCTCTGGACTTGTCTGCCGACCTGACGATGGGCCCCTGGCACTGCCATGTTAGATGAGTTTTCAAGCCTAGAATCACCAGTTGGGGTGTGTTCATGACTATAGCTGTCACCACGACTCCACGTGGCGTTCATGGGGTTAGCACAAGTGTGTG